TGAAACTGACATAGAAATGTGTGTTTAGAATGGTCTGAGCCACACTCACATGACTATACTAATAACCATCAACCTACAAAATTCTTCCTTAAAAATATAGTAGGAGTACCAAAGAGTGGAGTCAATGTTGAAAGGTGACCCCATTCAAGAAGGAAATACAGAAAAAAGAAACCCAGAGATCTTCATTTATCTTTGTTTCTAAGAAAAACTCTTTTAAGAGGTATGAAGAGACTTCATGAACATAGCAACTCTTATACAGGAAAACACTTAATTGGTGCTGGCTTACAGTTTCAGAGGTTTAGTACATTATCATTATGGCAGGGAAAATGGCGACAGCAGGCAGGCATGGTGCTGGAGAAGGAGGTGAGGATTCTACATCTTGATCCTCAGGCAGCAGGGAGTGAATTGTAACACTGGGTGTGGCTTGAGCATATATGAATCCTCAAAGTCTGCCTCCAGTGACACACACTTCCTCCAATAAGGTTACACCTACTCCAACAAGGCCACACCTACTCTAACAAGGCCACACCTCCTAATAGTACCACTCCTATGGGCCAAGCATACGAGTCTATGGGGGCAATAACTACTCAAACTACCACATTCCACTCTCTGACCTCCATAGGCTTCTAGCCATAACATAATGCAAAATGCATTTAGTTCAATTCCAAAAGTCCCCACAATCTTTCACAGACTCAACAATGTTTAAAAGTCCAAAGTTCAAAACCTCTTCTGAGATTCATGCAATGTCTTAACTGTAATCCCCCTATAAAATCAAAATCAAAAAACAGATCACATACTTCCAAAATACAATGGCACGGGATATACATTACCATTCCAAATGGAGGAAAGGGAAGAGAATAAGGAAATACTGGACCAAAGCAAGATCTAAAACCAGATGAGAAAACTCCAAGTTCTGCATCTCCACGTCTGATATCAAAACGTTCTTCAGATCTCCAACTCCTTTAAGCTTTGTTGAATGCAAAACACTTCTTTCTCCACTCTGTTAGCAACTCTCCTTGGCAGGTATCCCATGACTCTGGCATCTCCAACATCTTGGGGTTTCCAAGGCAAGTCAGGCTTCAACTTCACAGCTTCACACAATGGTCTCTCTACACCTCCATGCAGGGACACTCCTGACACATACCTGGCCTCAGTGGCTTTTCTTAGTCGCAGAGGGAGATTTCATAACCCCTTTCTTCTATCCTTGACTCTAAAGCCAGGACCACATGGTCAAAGCTGCTAAGTTCTGCTGCTTGCTGGGGCTGAAACATGGCTCCCTTGTTCAATTACATCCTCACCAGCTTTGTGTTTTCCATGGTTTCCTTTACTGCCTGAGCTTGGCTGTCCTGGAACTTGCTCTGTAGACCAGACTGGCCTTGAACTCGGAGATCTGCATGTCTTTGTCTCCTAAGTGCAAGAGTTAAAAGCATGTACCATCACACATGGACCTCAGCTGTTAAAATTCCTTTTCAAAGAAGGAAACTTAGCTGGGTGGGGGGTCTTGTCCTGAGTTCTTAATCTCCTTGAACACAGGACTTAGCTCCATTGCACATCCTGGTGCCCATTTCTTCCTCAAATTTTACATTATATATTTTTCCTTTCTCAGCTTGCTCCTTTTCATTATAGATCTTCTTAAGAGTGACCACTAATAACCACACGATAGTCTATACTAGGCTGTTTTGAGATTTCCTCTGCCAATACAATTAATCTAAAACTCTTCACTTTAACCTCAGGCAGACAGTTAGAGCAAGAGCAAAAAGCAGTCACATTCTTCACCAAAACATCACAAGAATGATCTCTAGGCAACATACTTTAATTCTCCTCTGAAACCTTTTCAGCCAGGCCCCCAGAGTTCAAATCACCCTCGGCACCACTGTCTTCCATGCTCCTACTAGTATGGCTCATTAAGCAGTGCTTAAAGCATTACACTGCTTTCCTAACCCAAAGTCCCCAAAACATGGTCAGGCCTATCACAGCAATACCCCAGGAATTTTAATAGCTGAGGTCCATGTGTGGTGGTACATGTCTTTAACTCCTGCACTTAGGAGACAAAGACATGCAGATCTCTGAGTTTCTATTGCTGTCTAGAGATACCATGACCACACCTAGTACAACAAGGCCATACCTCCTAACAGGCCACTTCCTATGAGCCAAGAGTTCAAACACATTGAGTTTATGGGGTCCTATATACTCAAACCACCACAAAGTCTATGCCTAAAAAAACAACCCAAATTTGATGATGCAAAAATGAAGTATTTTGGACCAATTAGCTAAAGAGAGACAAGAAGAAAGATCCTGAAGACCCCAAATCACCACTCCTAGCTTCTTCCTGTTCTTTTCAGAGTGTCATCCTAAGAACAATTACATAATCCCTGCATCTCCAATGTACACCAAAAAGCTAGCAATATGAATGATAGGGAAAAGCAGCCTTACGATAACAAAGAGGTGAAGTTGACAAAAAATTATGACAAGGACATAGCTGCTGCAAGCATAGATGATGAGGACAAGGATTCAGCAAAAACCATGGCTACCGTAGCCTGAAAACCATGATGACAATAACAAAGAGAATGACAAGAAGAAAGAGCTGAGGAAGTAATTACTAAAAAATAAAACTGAATTTCCTGTTTCCACATTGTCTACAGGGTAAACCTTTTGATAGTGTTTCTGCTGACCTTAACTACATCATTAAAATATGATCACACTGCAGTTTCTAGAAGTACTCTAGAAACCAGCAATTTGCATAAAATGTACCAGATGTTATGAGCACCCAGAACTACGCTCAAAGATGCACATCTTTCCAAACATTTCATAGTAAGTAGTTCTTCTGGCTTTGTGTGGCTTTCTCTTACCCTTCCAAAGGCACTGGAAGACCAGCACAAAACCACTTTAAAATAGCAGTAACCACTGTTACTGTCTACAAGTTCTGAAGTTCCCAATGCAGTGCATGTGTCTTCAGCTAAAGCAGTGTTAATTGCTGCTGCTGGAGTTCTGAAGTTATCAATTGCGAGTGTGTATCTGCAGCTTATCTAACGAGTAAGTGCAACAACAAATTCTCTAGGCTGTTCTTTGCACAGGTCACTAAACAAGGTTTTTTAGAGAGTTCTCAGCTCAAATGCTGTCTAAAGCCACAAAAGTAGCTGTGTCTGGAAATATGTGTTAGCCATGCCATCTACCACCATTCTGAGTGTGGTATACAAAGGCAGTATACAAAGTATACACATTTTTTTATTATTACGTGGGATAGTTTTTAAGTAAACTATAGACCTGTTCATGGACAGCAAAATGAAGTGTCACTGCACCAAAGTCCTGAAATGACTAGCATTTTTAAAACCAAGTCAAATAAAGCATAAACACTTCAGTATTTTAGAACTTAAAAAAAGCAAAGCATACCTTTTCCTTTAGGCATGTCTCAATTACAGTGATTTAGGAGTAAAGAAGAGCAAAAACTTGTAAACAAGGAAAATATGATTCCCCCCTTGGGAAATGAGCTAATTAAATCTGCACAAAAGGAGAATAAGCTGATGTCTCTCAGGCCCAGAAGGTTGAGTTAATCAGCTTAATCTATTAACAGATATAACAATAATGTCAAGCAAAAGTGGGTAACATTAAAATACAGGATTGAGAGAAATTATTAGTATGCGTCCATAACTATCTAGAAAAACACACGAGCAATGCAGCTGCAGGACCATTTGCTACTGCAGATGCAGTGAACCTGATGAAAACACCCTTCTGCCCACCCCACTTCTCCTCATTTTAATGTAATGTTCGCTAGGCAACCATGTAAACATGAATCCAGTCTCCCAGGAAGGTTAAGAAAGGTCCACAACCCCTCGTTTTCAAGTTTAAAGTTTAAAAGAAATCCTGAAAAAACAAAAAATACTTTTAGATCTGGCAGTCAATTCTGACATAACTGAACATTAAGTCTTTATTTACTACACTTATTGTGAATGGTCAATTTTTTTTCAGCAAAAAAATTAATGTATTTCATTACAGGTAACAGGTACCATCCCAGATCCCAATGGGATATTTTTGTAATATTCACTGTAAATTCCTTATTAGTTTTTAGAAAATCTAAAATAATTCTTTGTTCTGAGATACAACTGAGAAAGGGTCCCCTGGAAATGAAGGCAAATATTCTGATTTCTAGAAAAGGACATGCTCTTCATTAGTTCCCAGCAGAAAGAGCCAATTGATAATTTGGTTTATATTTCACTATTGTATAAGCAGTCTGAGACCAACAATCTGATATCTTTGAGTATCTTGGTAAAGTCCAGTCCATCATGCAAGATCATTACTGAGCCTTGTAACCAGTTCTCAGGCATGGTATATGCTCACCTTAAGTCTCTTCCTTAAGCCTACTACCAATTTCCAAGCCACAAAGGGAACATGTTAACACATCTTCACAAGACAAAACAAATATTAATGAATACCCCCATTTAACCTCACTGTTATCCTATAAAATTTTTAAATAGTAAAAAAACTAAATCCATAAAATTATTAAATAGCATCTTAATTTTTACCAAATTAAGTTATTGGAACATTGTGGAATATCTGAATAATATCTATACATTCAAATACTTATTCTGATTAGGTAAAGAGTAAAATACTTTAATGTGAAGTTACACATATTTAGAATTCCATTTCACTTCTAAAACTCAGCAAGAAAACATAAAACTACGTAGCTGGCAACAAGGAGGACCCTAAGAGGGACACATGGATTGCCCTGGGAAGGGGAAATAGATGAGATATCCTGAGTAAACTGGGAGTGAGAGGGGGCAATAGATGGTAGGGGATGGGGGATAAGAACATAAGGGAACGGGATGGTTGAGCTGAAAGAGGGATGGAGTGGGAGAGCAATGAAAGAGAAACCATGATAGAGGGAGACATCATGGGGACAGGGAGAAACCTATCTGGTGCTAGGGAAGTTCCCAGGAATCCACAAGGATGACCCTAGTTTAGACTACTAGCAATAGTGGAGAGGGTACTTGAGCAGGCCCTACCCTAGTAATCAGATTGGTGAATACCATAATTGTCATCATAGCGCCTTCTTCATCCAGTAACTGATGGAAGCAGATGCAGAGACCCACAGCCAAGCACCAGGCTGAGCTCCAGGATTTCAGCTGAGAGAGGGAAGAGGGATTCTATGAGCAAGGGGCATCAAGATCATGATGGGGAAACCTACAGAGACAACCGAACCAAGCTAGTAGGAACTCACTAACTTTAGACCAACAGCTGTGGAGCTTGCATAGGACTAGGCCCTCTACATAAGCAAGACAGTTGTGTAGCTTGGTCTGTTTGAGGGACCCCTGGAAGTGGAATCAGGATCTCTCCCTAGTGCATGAGCTGGTTGTTTTGGAGCCCAATGACTATGGTGGGATACCTTTCACAGCCTTCATGCAGGGGGAGGGGTTTCGTCCTTCCTCAGCTGAAAGTACCAGGTTTTGCTGACTCCCCATGGGAGGCCTTACCTTTTTGGAGGAGTGGATGGGGGGCGTGCATTGAGGGGGAAGGCTTGGGGGGTGAGTGGGAGGAGGGATGAGAGGGGAATCTGTGGTTGGTATGTAAAATGAATAAAAAATTTCTTAATAAAGAAAAAATAAAAATATTTTAAAAACTATGTAGCTGGCATCACTGTTTCTACAAAATATGAAAACTCCAAGATTTAGCATACAAAATCAGAAGATAAAGGCAAGAAATTTTTATAAAGTGTTGGTATTTAGTTCTTTGAATGTTCATGACTGAAGGTTTAGAGAAACAAAATTGGTTACAAAATTATTGAGTATATTTGATTGCATTTTAAAGTAGCATTTTCTTATAATTACTAAAGAAATATAATATATGGAGATACTCTGATAAATCTGAAGTTCAAAGAAAAAAATTAAAACATTCTTCATCTTATCAACCAAATAAACATTGTTTTCATCTAATTACATCATGAGCAGTTGCTACTCATTCTTCTAAAACCATTCCCAATAAATGCCTTCCAACCCACCCACTTATCATATATCTCTGTTAGAATTCTTTTCTACTGCTGGGCAGCTACACTGCTTTCAACGTCTTACTTGTACTATATCTCAGCAATAAAACAATTTACATTACTCATATGTAAATCAAAAAAGGTCTGTTAAACTCTGTTTGCCCATCTTTGTTTTGTTTGTTTGAGACAAGGTTTTTCTGTGTAGGCCTGGCTGTCCTGAAACTGTCAGTAGACCAGGCTGGCCTCAAACTCACAGAAATTCTGAGAGCAGGGATTAAAGTCATGCCGCACCATCCCACCCATCTTTTAAATTTGAACTCTTAGTGTTTTTCTACCAAGTTAAATAAGCTTTTTTAAATATTAATGCCATCAATCACCTATTTTTTTGTAATTCCCATCAGCTACATATATTAACTTCAACTACTTTCCATTTGCCTTTTAAACATTTTTAAATTCAAAAGTTATGAAATTTTATGTTAATATGTTTAATAACCTAAGGCGTTTCATGACAGTGAGACACATGGCTCCTGGCAGCACCAATCTATTTCAGAGAAGACGTTGGGCATCAAAGAAACTCCATATGGGATTTGTTTTCTTTATGGCAAAAGGTAGCCATGTGGGCAAAGAAACTGCTCTTGCCTCAATTGCTGACAGTTACTGTCCAAACTGGACCAACAAGATGAAAGAAAGGAGACTGCCGAACTTTGTCAAAACAAGGTAGGGCAGTCTTTCAAAATTCCCTGCTTCACAAGGAAATCTGTCAGATATGTAGGCCTGTAGGCCAGAATTGGATGCCCCAACATTACAGAGGAACTTTGAGTTTGCAGCAATTTGTCCCTGTCATTAGGTAACATTTTACCCTTCTAGGGTCTTTGATGGAGTTGAAAACTAGATAGTCATAGCTAAAGTTTTCCTTAGTTATGATAAAAGGTAAATTGGATATAAAACTTTAGAGTCACAAAGATAAGATAAAAAATAGAATATTTTCTCTAAATCTACCAAGTACAAATGGACTGGATATTGTAACTGTTATTCTTACTTAGTAACTGTTTTGTTGTATATAATTTTACTATGTTCAAGTTAAAACCTTCCTTTTAATTAGACAAAAAGGAGGAATTGTGGAATATTCCTTTATACTGTGTTGGGGAATATTATTTTAAGGTGTTACTTTTGTTTATGTTGCATTTGTTTAACTCTGTGAAGGTGTGTTAATTATGCCTGTCTAAAACACCTGATAGTCTAATAAAGAACTGAACGGCCAACAGCAAGGCAGGAAAAAGGATAGGCGGGGCTGGCAGGCAGAATATATTGAAGGAGAAATCTGGGAGGAGAAAAGATCAAGGAGTGAGAAAGGAAGGAGAAGGACATCAGGGTCCAGCCACCCAGCTACACAACCAGCAACAGAGTAAGACACAAAGAAAGGTATACAAAAATAGACAAAAGCCCAGAGGCAAAAGACAGATGGGTTAATATAAAATTAAGAAAAGCTGGCAAGAAACAAACCAAGCTAAGGTTAGGCATTTATAATTAAGAATAAGCCTCTGTGTTTGATTTATTTAAAAGCTGGGTGGCAGGCCCCTCAAAGAGCCAAAAAGTAAAAAAAAAAAAAAAGCAACACTATATGAATATATGTTGCTGTGATTGGTTTAATAAAGAAGCTGACTGGCCAATAGCTGGACAAGATAAGGTTGGGGGAAAGCCAAACAGAGAATTCTGGGAAGAAGGGCAGAATTGGAGGAGTTGCAAGCAGATGCAGAGAGAAGCAAGATGGACATGCTATACTGAGAAAGGGTACCAAGCCACGTGCCAAAGGATAGATAAATATAAATGGGTTAATTTAAGTTGTAAGAGTTAGCTAGTAACAAGCCTGCACTATTGGCTGAGCATTTATAATTAATAATAAGCCTCTACGTAGTTATTTGGGAGCGGCTTACAGGACAGAAACTTCCGCCAACAGGTCTTCAAATTAGGTGAGGCATGAAATTATTAAAAATAGCAAAAGTCCATCAACTCTATACTAAATTAAATTTAAATATATATAACATGCAACTTAGACATTTATTTTTACTTTATGATCCATTTAAAAGTCACAAATAAAAAATTATACCTCAGATGAGCTAAAAAGGTTACATGAACTCTTGATAGTGAAAATACTAGGTTTAAACTTCTGCTGATTCATCAACTACAGGATTTCCCCCTCCTCCCCCCACCCCCACACATACCACAGAACACTTTTTCTTTAATCCAAAAAATATATAAAACTATTAGACCAATGGAGAAGATGAGCCATTTCTTCCCTACAAAAGCTCTTCAACTAATGCATTCAGAAGAATATTTGGAACAGAAAATTAGCACTGGAACACAACCATAGCATATAGTCATGAGTGCTGAATTAGGCAAAGTTTAAGGAGAAACAGGACACTTGTGTAGCCTCAGATTCTTGGCCCAAAATATTTTAATTTCAAAAGGAAAAATATTGACCTTTTGTAGTATATAAAGACATTTACTTAACTCACAGATTGGAATTCCAAGACCATGGCACTAGCAACTATTTGGCACTGGTGGAAGTCTTTTGACTGCATCGTGGTGGGAGTGTATGTAAGAGGGAAGGATCATACATCACATGGCTAGGCAGGAAGTAAGAAAGATTCAGAGATGAAGTATAGGGGTGTGTGTGTGTGTGTGTGTGTGTGTGTGTGTGTGTGTGTGTAACTGGAAACTGAACTCAGGGCTTGGCACATACTAGGTAAGTACTCTATCACTGAACTACACCCCAGCCTCTTGTGTTCTTATTTTGAGATGAGGTCTTGCTAAATTACATGGGCTAGCATTAAGCTTTCAACTCTCTTGCCCTTGGCCCTGGGGTAGACAGGATTACAAGCACTCATTACCACACTGAGCTCAGGCTGCTGTTTTTCTTTGTTTTTATTATTTTTATATATAACGACCAGCTCCAACAGGAATTTCCAAGATTCCTGAAACTACATCAATCTCTCCCATCGGTGATGCCCAATGCTCCAGTGTGAGCTTATGGCCTCCAGTGTGAGCTTGTGGCCTCACACTGGAGTCTCACCTCTTAAAGTTTCCACTCACTCTCAATATGCCACATTGGGGATCATACTGTCAGCACATTATGAACATCTCTCATCGATAAACTTTCCCTAAACTACAGCATTGACTTAACAGTAAAAACACCTGGCACGTATCACCTTAATCAAACTCCCATCACATTTACCATGACACATACCCTTTACATAATGTGTTGAATAATACATAATAATAAACTATCATAATGTGTGACAGTTTACCTCATAATAATCTTTCAAGAATGCACAACATTAATCTAACCATGAGTAAAGATCAAATAAACCCAAATGGAATCCTCTAAGTAACAGAAAAGCGCTTTTCAAAAAAACGTGTCAAAATAAGGAATGAACAGCTGTCAACAAGCTCCAGGAGATAAAAGAGGGAAAAAACGCCTAAATGCAGAGTGGAATCCAGTCCTGGTCCTGAGACAGAATAGGGATATTCTTGAAAGGAGTGGTACAGTGTGAATAGGCCCTGTAGTTAAGAGTTCCCCAGCAATATTAGTTTCGACATTTTGATCAATGTCCTGGTTATATGTTGTCACAAAGGGAAGCAGGGTGGTAGATTTTTGTGAACTCTGCACTGTCTTTCCATTTCTTCTGTAACTCTAAATTACTTTAAAATATTTTTTAAAAACAGTGAAATTACTGTCATCAAGCCTCCTGTGAGGACCAACACATTTACCCAGTTATCTTGCACCCTTTCCTTCAGCTTTCTGCCAACTTTTTTTAAGTTCTACCCTTTCCTACATTTTCCATAAACATTCCAAGTTCTTAAACTTTAGGATTTCTCAAAGTAGACTCATTTTTTTCTCAACACAGTCTTCCTGTCAGGCTTCAAAGTAACTCAACAGAGGGAACTTTACAAACACCTTAACATATTATATCTTCAACATATTTAACAATATACAAAGTACTTTTTAAACACAATAGCTTTAGCATGGCATGGTGGCGAACGCTTTTAATCCCATCACTCAGGAGGCAGAGGCAGGGGGATCTCTGAGTTCAGGGCCAGCCTGGTCAACAGAGAAAGTTCCAAGCAAGCCAGGGCTACACAGAGAAACCCTGTCTCAAACAAATGAAACAAACCAAAATAATAATAAACTAGCTTTGAGATGCTTATTGTAAATACTGCTATTTTACAGATAAGACTGTAAGACTAGAAAAATTAACTGATGTGACATTTAGTAAATGTTGAGGTCTGAATTTAAATCTAGGTTTTCTGACTCCAAGACCAATTACATATTTAAAGAAAGAGCTTTACATTTAAAAAGATTAAACCTCCCCAGCTCCAGGCAACCAAATCACATCTAATAAACCAAGACTTTTGAGAAAGTTCTAAATTTCTCTCTTGATTCTGCAATCAAGAATTATAGGATTCAATGAAAATGTTTACCCTAGCATAATCTTTATGTTGTTTTCATGGTAAACATTACTCATCTCTTCAGCCACACTATAAGTATGAAAACTCTTTCTCCTACTTTATCATAGCAGTGTCTTTAAAACACCTAAAAGCACTCTGCTCCCAATTCCTTTCACCTCCTGATATTACAAGGCGGTAAGGAATCCTACTCTCATCTTTTTCTCCCTTCATTCTTAAAAAAGATTCCGAGCTAGGAGGTGGTGGTGCAGCATGCCCATAATCCTAGCACTCACTCAGGAGGCAGAAGCAGATGGATCTCTGTGAGTTCGAGCCCAGCCTGGTCTACAGAGCAAGTTCCAGGACAGGCTCCAAAGCTACACAGAGAAACCCTGTCTCCAATAAAAGATTATTAGGGCCGCAGAGATGGCTCAGTGGAAGGCGCCTGCCGCCAAGCCACACAACCTGAGTTTTGATCCCCAGGACCCACGTGGTGAAAGGAGAGAAAAGACTCCCTTGGGTTATAATCTGGTCTCATGTCCCTCCCCATACACACAAATAAATATGTAATTAAAAAGAAAATAAGAAAGAGAAGCGAAAAGTCAAACAACTAAATCCAAATGTGTGCATCTCCTTAAGAATTATCCAACAGCGCAATGTTTAGTTACCAGGATTTGAGAGACTAAAGAAAATAACTTTCAGCGAGGCGTGGTAGTGCATGCATGCCATTAATCCCAGCACTCCAGAGGCAGAGGAAAGGCGATCTCTATGAGTTCGAGTCTAGCTTGATCTACAAAGAGAGTTCCAGGACAACTAGGGTTGTTAACACAGAGACCCTATCTTGAGATAGAGAAAGAAAAAAAAAAGCTAATCTTTGGAAGCTAAGTAACGGCATACTGTGTTAATTACACGGACTGTCACGTACAAGGGCAACCAAAAAGACAAAAGCCGGCGAACTTGTGCGTGATGTAGTAAGTTCTGAGACACCCCACCCTCATCTCTCCAACACCTGACAACTTCAGACTCTCCCAAAGTTGATCTGATCACCGGGGAAAACTTTATGTGCCTTAGCGGAGAGCCTGTGGGAGAAGCTGAGGGGGCTTACGACACTTGGTAAAGCGTTGCTTGACCAGCTTTAAGCTATTTAATTCAAATGCCCTGTTTGGCCGTGCATGGACAATGGGGAGCAGCTGGGAAGGCGGTCTCTGAAACGAATACCACTGAGAAACCCCAAAAGCCTGGGATAAGGGGGCGGGGAGGGGGCATCACTTGCCTCCCATTCCTGCAAGAAACGCTGGGCCTCGCCAGAACCAACAGTCTTATGCCTCCTAAATTCGTCCTTCACGTACTGGTCACCCAGAGCTTTGAGGTCCGGGGGCAGAGCCCGGTGGAGCTGCAAGATACGCTTATATAAACATCGGACTCGCGAAACATGCCTCGCCGGCATGGCGCCGCGCGCGCGCTGGACCTGCGGCGCCTGCGCAGAAGGTCAGCGTGCCTCTGCCCCACTGGGAAGTCGCCGGCGGCGGAAAAGGGCGCGCGACCTTCATCCGGTTTGGTCCGTCATCGAACCTTGTCCTTCCGGAAGCTCGAATTTTGGTGCCGACAGAAAAGTGCCCCGTCTCTCTCTGCTAGAAGTGTGGCATTTGAGGAGTCACTGCAATTTCTCGGGTTTCCTAGAGAGATGCTATATAACTCGAAAGTCTTGAGTGAGCGAGTTGTTACCTTTCAGAGCTAATTAATCGTCGTTTCCATTCATCTTCGTCAGGTCCTTCTTATTAAAGGTTTGAGAAACACTTCATCAAAATCAGTCTCCTTCAAAAAGCCTTTGGTTAATTCAAACTGTTTGAGGCTTCTGGGAGTTTTCTTGGGAGGAAGGTATGGATCAGTGTGGATTCATCGCTCCCTCCAATAGCGCACCCTCATCTCACAGTGCTGTACTTGGAGTTTATGTCCTCCAAGCATAGCTTCTCCCAGGTTAACTAACACAAGTGAGCGCCAGCTGGTAGACTTTGTTAGTCCAGGTCAAGTAGGCTATGGAAGAATCACGGGAGGTGTTTTTTCCCAAGTGTATTTTTCCAAGGGCACAATCATGGGGATTCTTATAAATAATGTGAGATGAAAACCGGGAAAATCTATGTTCCCAAGTCTTAACTTGTGTAGAGATGGGTAACTTTCCAGAGCCAGTAGCTCTTTATCCTTATTTTTTTCATTCCCATTACATTTTTAATCCTCCAGCAAATCCTATTGGCTCCACACCAAACTCATGCAGAAATCAAGCATCATTTCCACCACACCCTGTACCATAAATATCTCTTTCCACTGGAGAGCTTCCTGTACCATAATCATCTCTTTCCATTGGATAGCTTCCTTATTTGTGTTCCTGCCTCTGGCCATGTTGAACTTCAGTTATGATCTACCTAGGTGGAAATTAGAAAATATCATTCCTCTGCTTGACAAATCCTCAATGGCATTCCATTAATGTAAAACCCAAAGTCTCTCGACCTCTAGAATTTAACTTTTCTGTATACTCACTCTCTAGTTAGTGAGTTCGAGCCACACTGGCCTTTGGGTTCTTTATCCTAAGAAGGCCAGGCATTTGACAAACATTTGCTTGTAACCTTCTCTCATATGCATTCTCTTAGCTTATTTACTTTGCCCAACTCATGGTTTGGGAACCCTGCAAATCAGACCCCTCTGACAGCCTTGTTTGAAACTAACATAATCAAGCCAAAATTCTCATGCTATTCCTGCCTTTTTTTTTTCTTGTCCATAATATTTAGTACACAGAATTTACTTAGTTACTTGCTCCTGTTTCTCACTAGAATACTCAAAGAAGGAATTTTTCAGGAGGGGTGCTTCCCACTGATACATCTGTGCTCTAAACCTGTAATAAGCACACAATAAATATTTGTTGCATTGATGCATGAAGTTTATTAATGGTGCTGAGCGTCTCAGGGTTTGCATGTAGGTAAAACACAAGAATGTAAGATCTTGGGTGGTTCTTTCACAGGCACTGGATTTCTGTCTATGTAACTACTAGGAAATACAAAAAGACAATATCCTCAGAGATTTGCTCATTTCCAGAGCTCTCTATGGTGCATCACAAAGAGGAAGTACTCTATATTTATTGTCTTGATTAAAGTTTTTCTTTTTACTTAACTTTAAGAAAAATATTTGCCTAAAAGAATACAGGATATTTTTAATGAATTTAATTTGGCATTGTGACAAACCACATTAATGGTGAGGATTGAAGAGCAGTGTCATTTTATTTCAGGAAATTTTTCTAGCCCTATTTCATCTGTTAATATCCCTATAAATTTAAAATTAGTTTCTCATTCTAGTTTACTTTTTTCTAGTTTCCCTTTAGGTTAAATTACAGGTATAATAAATATTTCTTTCAGAGCCAAAGCTCTTTATAAAAATGTGGAAAAATATTCTGCCAATGAACTAATAAAAGAATTGATTCAGCCTAAAGGGAACAGAAAAGATCCACAAAGCTTTTGTAAACCAATGATCAGAAATGGACATGATGGCCAGAAAGATTCTAAGACAGTAGTAGTTCTCAACTTTCCTAATTCTGTGATCCTTTAACACAGTTCCTCATGTTGTGGTGACCCCCAAATGTAAAATTCTTTTGTTGCTACTTCATAACTGTAATTTTGCTACTGTTGTGAATTGTAATGTAACTATATAATGTGCAGGATATCTGACTTTCTAAGACGTGGTAGTATAGCTAGACCTTGAGAAAAGGAATCAAGAAGAAAGAATGAGTGCACTAACAGATGAACTTTTTTCCACAATGAGTGAGGCAGTGCACTATTTTAATGATGAAACTTTCTGTTTCTCTGACCATTCAACTGAGTTTTCCTCTTGTGGTCAAAGAATCCATAAATGGACAATAAAATTTGAGTTGAATTCCTGGGTATTAATCCAGATTAGTACACTTCATTTTGACCACAAGAGGAAAATTGTAATAGGAAGGTCATGGAGACAGTAAGAGTTTATATAGATCACCTCCCACAAAATAGAGATGGAAGAAGCAGGTAGAAATGGTGTTTGACAAGCAGAGAGGAGTGTTGACTGAAAAGATAGAAATGGTGAACAAGGAAAAAAACAGAAAGGGAACATCTGCCTGGGGCCCGCTGCATTGATACTTCATGGCATACTCTGGTCTTTATATTAAAGTGTATAATGTTGGCAATCTCGAGCTCCTCCCATTCCAAACCCTGCCCAAAGAAAGCCCGCCAATCGACAGCTTCTCCCCGGGAGCTCCTGTAGACTGTCCCTACATGGTATTTAAGTTGCAGCCCATAGTCTTGCCATGTGATTTCTTCTCTTCCCCTGAGATCACCTGGGGATGCTTGGCTCCTTAAATCTGGACTGTTAATTTGGTTTGATTTGGCTTATTGTATCCTTGAAGTTACCCACTGCTGGAGGCTATTTTCATAATATTGATCATAGAAAGTAAGTCTTACTATCAAATAATACTAAAAACATGTTCCAGGGCTGGAGAGATGGCTCGGCAGTCAAGAGCGCTTGCTGCTCTTGCACAGAACCTGGATTCAGTTCCCAGCATCCACATAGCAACTTGTAACCATCTGTAACTGCAATTCCAGGAGATCCAACTCTCTCTCCTGTCCTCCGTGAGCACCCGTCATACACATAGTGCACAGGTTTGCATGCAGCCAAACACTCAAGCACGTAAAATAAAAGTCTGTAGCAGTATTTTTTTTTCTGTACTAAGGATCAAATTCAGGGCCTCCTACTAAGCAAGCGTTCTTCCACTAGCTACATTGCTTCTCCATTTTAAAAAATGTTATATTCTGAAACAAGGTTTCGCTAAATTGCCCTTGTCATGCCTTTAGTCCTCTATATGTTCCAGTCTGGCCTTGAACATCTACCTCTGCTCATAAATAGCTGGGATTACAGATGTGTGGTTAGTGGCAGCTAAATCTTTCTCTAAGTAGTTTTCATGAACTTAAAGATCAGAGAGATGATTGAGGCTGGACTAATTATAGAAACTACTTAGAGTCACCTCAGTCAACACCAGAAATAGTTCATCCCTACTTTGAATGTTGTTTATCATCACACTGAGGTGGCAGACATGGTAAAGGAATGAATTCTTAGATACTTTTACTTGGCATCTGAATATTTATAGTTATTTAAGGACAATGGTGAGGAAGTAAATAAAATTTCAAATTAAGCATGAAGTTCAAAGAATGAAAGAAACAAATTAATTCATGAAAAATCTCTTCTATGAGCCAGGTGGCAGTGGCGTACACCTTTAATCCAGCACAAGGGAAGCAGAGGCAGGAGGATCTCCAAGTTTGAGGCCATAATGGGTTCCAGGATGGCCAAGACTACACAGAGAAACCCTGTCTCAGAAAAAAAAGTCTATTCTATAAAAATAAATTTAGACAATGGTCTGTTTAGTGTATTCCTGAATCTCTAAAACATATTACATAAATAATAGCAAAGAGAATTACATGCAATTATATCTGGATGGAAAGACTCTAAGTCTGTAAGTGATGTTTTGAAAATTTTGCAATTGTTTATGAATTGGAATGAGGAAATCAGCCAAAAATCTAGATAAACTTTTATTTTTAATAATTTAATAACATATGATAAGCTCTAAGGAAGAAATCATCATTGCATAGATGCTGATAAAAAATTGACAAGTTCAAAACACATTCCTGATAACAATAATAATTTTTAATGGAAACCAGTGGATTCTATAGCAAGAATGTCTTAGTTAATGGGAAAGCACCTGATGTGCAAGATTTTGTTCAAAAAAGAGTGAAAAATAATGTTTTTGATTTCTTAGTTGTGCAAAAGGGATAAACGAATAGATGATTTTTTAAGTTTTCAATGAAGATAAAAGGGGTAAGATGGAAAGAAAGTAATGAAATGAGATGTTTCTGAGTTTGCACTTTAATTTTTACTTAAGAGTAAAAAAATGTTTATTATTAAAATAAACTTATTTGTTTAATTAATTAATTAATTTTGGTTTTTCAAGACAGGATTTCTCTGTGTAGCCCTGGATGTCCTGGAACTCACTCTGTAGACCAGGCTGGCCTTGAACTCAGAGATCTGCCTGCCTCTGCCTCCCAAATGCTGGAATCAAAGGCTTGCACCACCACAGCTGGCTTAAATTTATTTTTAAAGCTTATATTAATATTGGAAGCAGAGCTCTAGAACTATTTCTGCCTGTTACTTTGGCCATATAATGCAAACTTTGTACTGAATTTTCCCATTTATACCTGTTTTCTCTTTACCCAAAATTTATTTAGGTAGATGAAAATAGATTTTTTTTTGCTTTCATATTTTCTAATTTTATGGAATTATAAATGTGTTGGCTTGAATAGGTATGGCCGCCATGAACTCATGTGTTTGAACGCTTGGCCCATAAGGAGTGGCACTATTAGGGTGTGGCCTTATTGACATAAGTGTGGTCTTATTGGAGGAAGTGGGTCACTATGAGTGCAGGTTTTGAGGTCTCATGAGTGTTCAAGCTACACGAAGTACACAAT